GACCTGAAAGAGGATGGTAGTAGCAAACCTAGTCAAGGAGAGCAAAAGGGCAGACAGCTTTATACACCAGGATGGGTGATGAGGTCTGCTCCTGCAACAGTACCCACACACTGGGTTAATATCATCAAGCTGGTGTGGATTCAATGGAATGAGATTAGAGGGAATGAATAAACAGGCCTACAAAGAGTCCGAAGTTGGGCCACCATGGCATTCCAACGTCTTGGTGCTGAAAGAGGGAAGGAATAGCCCTTCATGCATATTCCCTGTTCTTGCTTCCAACACTATCAGGAGAATGCCCATTCAATTCTCACAGTTTGAGATCATCATGATGAGCAGACAGGGACAAAGTATCTCTCCCCAAGAGAAATTTCAGTTTGTTCATTTCTCCCTCTCAACTGATTCGTAATATCCTCCCTGGGGTTTAATTCCCTCCTTCATAGGCAACACAGCAGGCCACATAAGTAGAAAGTGCATCAACTTTTCTCACAGAAGTGAAATGAAAAGGAAGGCAGTATTGGTTAGGTTAACTAGCAGCTTGCAGAGGCGATGGAAATGGAGAGAAAAGTATGCTTTGAAGGAATGAATGAGAAGTCACATTTTCCCAGTGACTTCCACAATCAATGGACACCCCAAAGTGTTTTATAAGTAAACTGAAGATACTGGTGCAGCATGGTGGCTCAGTGGTTAGCACTGCTGCTTCACAGTGCTAGGGACCCAGGTTCAATTCCACCCTCAGATGACTGTCTGTGTGGAGTTTGCACATTCTCCCCGTGTCTGCGTGGGTTTCCTCTAGGTGCTCCGGTTTCCTCCCACAGTCCAAAGCTGTGCAGGTTAGGTGGATTGGCCATGCTAAATTGCCTGTAGAGTTCAGGGCTGTGTAGATTTGATGAGTTATAGGGGGATGGGTCTGGGTGGGATGCTCCAAGGGTTGGTGTGGACTTGTTTGGCCGAAGGCTCTGTTTCCACACTGTAGGGATTCTATGATCTGTTACAATATAGGGCAGCCTACAATGAAAGCACAGGAAAATCCCTAAACATCTGCATTTGACCTTTTGTTTCTTGATGGTTTCAAGTTTGAGTGGAACGGCAGCACCTCGGACAGTTCACCGCATTGTGTTGGGCGCTTTCTGTCGTCATGTCTCTGTGCTAAGCCCCGAAGCTGTGTCTCTTGGTGAGGGGGCGACCTCCTCATTCTACACTTGAGGTTAATTGGCCGAACCATGTCCATCACGAGAAGGGAGATGCATAACGGAAAGGGGTGAATGAGAGAGAGGAGTTTGTGCATTGTAGCATTGGCGGTGAACATCATGGTGAAGCAGAGCGCTTTGTGGTCTGATTAGGCTTGCAGTCACATTGAACAATCATTAGATTTCAACTGGAAGGCTGTATTCCCTGGCGGTGGTAGCCAATGAGTTGCCTGGGCTGGTCGAAGTGGACTACTTGGACAGAAGGGTCTGCTTCCATGCTGTATGATTCTAGTTCGTTAATGTCTATGTAGGGCTACCATAGTTCAAAAATGCGATTCTACCAAGCACGCTCACAAGTCATAAAGTCCTAAATAATGAGCTAAAGATAACTGACTCAATAAAATGCTGTCACCAGGCGGAGCAGGTGTCAGACGTATTCATAGACTGAAATGGTTTCCATTTCGCCCAGCGCTGGAATAGAAACTGGGGCTAAATTTTCACAATGTCTTTAACTTGAGAACACGTCCTAAAGCCCTTAACAATAGTAATTTAGCGTAAGTCTTTCAGGCACCGAGACGTGCAAGGAGAAATTTGTGTTGAAGAGGCGGAATGGTTTAGAGAGGGAATTCAGAGTCTGAGCTAAGGTAGCTGTAAGCAGAGCAGACAACAAGTGCAGACACATTAAAACCAGGGGTGTACAGAATGCTAGAATTTGGAGTATGGGCAGCTGTAAGGTTTATTGTTGGTCATTTATAGCGTCATTGCAGGACAGATATGAATAAAACAAATGCAGTCCCATCCAGCTAGAGAGTTTAACAAGGAGTTGGCTTGGGTGGTCTGCTCAATTGAATGTTGTGGACAGATTGAGAAGGAGATGGGGCTGTTTATCCTGGTCATTGTCACGGTTTTTAACAATGGCATTTTAAGCATTGCCCTGGAAATCTGATTGGAGGAAACAAGGGCACGAATTTGAGGAACCAAATCCCATTGAAGGCCTTTGGAAACAGAAGAGAGGTTGGACTATGTCTATCAGGGGGTATTTTGTAGAGATGAGGGGATCAAAAGTAGGTTTGGATAATATCAGCTGAGAGAGTCAGTGACGACGGGTTGGCTGCGTCTCAGGCACAGTTCAAGGCCACACAAAACATTGCTAGAGTTGGAATGGAGTCTGGAGTTTAGGACACGCGAAACATGGAGGGTGAGGGTGAAGGCTGCCCGAAGGGCAAGGAAATGAAGTGGTAGAGGCAGCTGAAAGGATGGGCTCGATCTCGGTGATTAGCGGGTAATCAATAACACTGAGGGACTCCGCCAGCTCCGGTCGATAATAGTGCAGATAAACATTTTCGAGGTACCAAGATACTTGCTGGTCAGGCCTAAATCTGTGACTGATTCCAAAGCACTTGTTTATTTTTGATACGGCATCTCAAGTTAAAATGGTGTTGGTAGAACGGTGTGGTACGTTTTCCTGTGATTTATAAGAAAATCTGAAGTTGTTGTTTTCTGTCTTAATATTAGTCCCATTATTTGCAACCCTTGGGCATCGGTGGCTAATGATCCGTTGTAGTTGCTTTGCCCAATCATTTCAGAGTGAGCAGCGGTCTATTCTCGGTTAGTTGTGTGGTTTGACCATTAACCATTAGTCAGGACCATGTAATTGCAGTACTCTGATTCCGGGTGCTGGCAAATCCTCAACAAGAGGAAAGACTGAGTGAGGACTCTATAGACATAGCGTTTAGGATACACCCCGATTCAAGTGAAGAGTCAAGTTTCTGTTGTCATTTCGCCCACCAACTACAAACGGAGAATATCCGGGGAACCTCAATAAGTTTTTGAATGTATATACACTCACTGTGAAGGAGCAATTACACCGAGTGACTTTGAGGTGAAAGAGTGATTGACACCGATTGATTCATCAGGTAAGAATGCTGTGTTAAATACAGAGATTGCTAAAAAAAAACTCAGCAAGTCCGGCAGCATCTGTGGAGAGAAAGCACAGTTTCGGGTCCAGTGAGTTGTACCATCGTAAAGGTACAATTGCTAACCTGTACATGCTTCAGGCATCATAGTTCACTGGTTGGGAGCTCCTGCTGACTGACTAGGGCACATTTCACTAGTAGGTAGATTTTACAACACTTACAGAATCCCTACATTGTGGAAGCAGGACATTTGGCCCATACCGACCCTCCGACAAGCATCCCACCCAGAACCACTCCACCACCCTATGCCTGTAACCCTGCATTTCCCACGGCTAATCCACCTGAACAACACGTCCCTGGACGCTATGAGCCATTTAGCATGGTTGATCCATTTAACCTGCACAATTTTGGACAGTGGGAGGAAACTGGAGCGCCCGGAGGAAACCCACACAGACACAGGGAGAATGATCAATCTCCACACAGTCGCCCGAGGCTGGAATCTAACCCGGTCCCTGGCACGGTGAGACAGAATTTGCTAAACTGAACCACTACTTGCATAGTAAGACTGACGTTGCTTTACACGGGTATATGTTTACAAACACTTCATTCTTGGCTGCTGTATATAACAGCCCCGGCTACAAAGCAAAGTCTGCGATACATCACATCATTATGGCATTTTAACACAGATATAAAGTAGTTAGGTCTTTAAAATACACTCGCAAGTCGCCAGTGGCTACTACAGGTTGTTGTTCATGGCTGCGTGAAACCATATACAACCTCTCATTGAACCAGGAATGGAAGGCTCCGGTTCTAAACTTTTTTTGTTTGCTGGGTTGAATGGGTGCAATGATCAGCTTCCAACTGTTGGCCGCGACAATTGGAATTAATAAAGACGTGGCAATCCTTGTCGAGCAGGAAGTTATACCAACCCCTTGTTACCAGGGGACATATTCCTAGGCTGAGGAGGGAATGGAAAAAAAAAAATGGAATGCTCAAATCATACATCTAAAAACTTTTTTTGGTTCGTCAGCATTCTCCCTGTTATATTGTACGGCAGCTAGCTTTAATAGAGAATGCATTTTTTAGCCTACTAAATAAATGATAGACTCCAGAGAGGTTTTAAATTTACGAAGTTATTTTGCTTTCACATTTACGTCATTTTCTCGTATGCCCAATGTACTCACTGATGAAAGGCAAAGTGACTCACCTCCAGTTTCTGCACAGCTTGGCTCTAATGATCACTCACCTTACTGAAGACTCGCCGCCGTCCGGAGCACCTTCCTTATCGCATGAATGAGAAGCTGGAAGAATAAGGTTTTGGTTTTCCCCATACGTTTGGGAGGGGAGGGGGTACAATATTTCATCCCTAGGAGGGCCACACATCGTGTAATTAAACTTACAAAATTAGGCATATGCTGTTAAGCTCCAAAACAAACCGACCTCAGGGTGGGCAGGGTAAAGAGTTGGAGAGCATTTGTAACAAAAAAAAAATGTTAAGGATGAATGTTCAATGCCTGGCCGCAGCCAGATTCGCCTTGTGTCCCAATACACTGCAAAAATCAGCTGGAGGCGAGATGGAGGAATGCCAAACCTGGACCAATTAGCAGTCCTCTGGGGGAAGTGGCGGGGATGGGGGGAAAGGGTGGAAGTAACTGTGGCCATACCTGACTTAGGAAATGGAGTAGAGTCCGTTAGACTGGGCTCGCCACAGACATCTCCGCCTTGCTTTCCCACATTCATTTATTCTAAGTGAGTTTCAAGCGTGGCAAATACAATGGCCGAGAAAGGAATGCTACACAGGCTATAAACGCTCGACCGCTAGAGAGAAAAAAAGCAAGTCCGTGCAGCGAAGGGAGAGTATACTGGATTCCACACCGCGTTGTGCCTCCTCATTTACCTCATCCTTCTACACGGGAATTTAAACCGGCTTGTGGTGTCCTTGCAGCCTCACCGTGAAGCTGACTTTAGTCCCACCAAAAGGTTCCCGTTGCCTGAAGATTTTAAAGGATGCAGTGAACAATTCTGCGTTTTACCCCCCCCAAACCCCTACGCCAGGGTCCTGTCACCTCGCCCGCAAGAGCCGGCTGATTTTGCGACTGAGTTGTCATTAACGGCTTTTAAGTTGTTCTCAGTTATTTATAGTGCTGGGGGGCGGTCAAATGCTTTCGAACTAAATTCCAACCATGGCTATTTTAATTCGGTCATTAATCTGTTTATTTCAAATGGGTTAATGATTGCAAGCAAACTAGGGTTGGCAGCATGTTAAACTAATAGTTTTGCCAGCTGCACTATAAATAGCACAGTCCTCTAGATTTACATCTGAGTGTTTGGAAGTGACCAAGAGTCATCAAGGTAGGGGGGAGGAGGGCGTGGGAGAGCGGATCCTATGCTTTAACCAGTTGCGCAACATCGTGCAGATGCCGAACTTCACTTACTACGTGCTATAATCCACAGCGCCCTGAACCGGTCTCTCCTCAATCCCAGATAGTTTTTTTTAAATTCTTAATCATCTAGCTGGTCATGTCACTTTGTGTGAGGGTGAGTAGTCAGCATGTTTCGAACAGATATATAACATGAATTGCAATTTAAAAAAAACAGCCAAATATAATGAACACTCGTAGTATTCCCTCTTCTTCCATTCTGACCAGTTATTGATGGGTGGTTATTAGTATGCAGTGTTCTGCAAATGGTAAAGTCACGAGAATGGTGACGCATTGGGTTAACGGGAATATAATAAGCAGACTTGTCCAGTCTGCATCTTGCAACATTTTAAAGAAGTGGATTCCATGGTTATTGCGCAAATTTCAGATCAAATATCCGCCAATTGTTTTAATGCAGCGTCCAGCAGGTATATAATGCACAGTGAAGTGTATCAAAATATTTTAATACATGAGTTGTGGTAGGCCATTCGATTCGTCGAGCCTGTTGAACCATTTAGTAATCTAATGGTCAATCTTCTGCCTTAACTGTGCACTCCCGGGATATCTCCACACCCTTACTTATTACTTATACTGATTACTCAAAGGTCTGATGACTTCTGTCTTCAATATACGCAGAGACTGAGCTATTGCTTTCTGTGGCAGAGTATTGCAAAGATTCACTACTCTACAATTGAAGAGCTTTCTCACTCTCTGGGAACTGAATGGTTAATGGCTCAGTCTGAGATTGTGACCCTGCGGTTTAGCAACCCCACAATAGGCAAAAAATTCAGTACCCACTTTGTTAAATGTCCTAGGAATTTTAGATACTTCTGAAAACGTCCCCCCATTCTGCTTTGGGATCGGAGTTTTCTGAACACAAGAAATAATGGGCCTAGATTACTCAATCTTCCCGGAAGGAGAATCGCCTTATCCACGGAACTAATTGAATGTTTAGTGATTTATAAAGTACAGTCAAGATCATCTAAACACAAACATTTTCCAATTTCTCATCGTTCCAAAAAACCATCCTTGATTAATTGCCCCCACCAAACACTAAGTTTACCTTCCTACTGTACTAACACATGGTTATTTTCCCCACATTCTCCTTATCAAAGTAATTCTTATAAATTAGAAATAACTGGAGTAGAAATGTTGACCTCTGTGGTACACTACTAGACGCAATCTGCCATATTAAAATGGTCTTGTTTATTCCTACTGTCGGTTTTCTGCCAATGAACCAATCCTCAGCTCGCACTAATATTTCTTCCGAGCCCCACATTCTAATTTTGTGTAATAAACTTTGAGTAACATTGCTGAATTTCTTTTGAAAATCCAAATGCACTACAACCACTTAACTACATAACTCCCCTTAACCAGGTTATGAGTTGCACCACCACAAATCTATAACACAGCTTTTGAATCTGATTTTCCTTTCATTTGTGCTGACTCTCCAATATCATATGGTGTGCCAAATCTTTCAACTTCCAGCCATCCAGATGTACCAACCTCCATGGGAGTTGCCTGTATTTTTTAAATTTCAATGGGCAATTCTCCTGCTCCCCGAGGTCCACCCCATACATCACTCTGAGCTAGAGTCAGCGGCTTCAGACAGTTCTGATGTTATTACATTGAATGTTACCCAGGAAATGTTAGACAGAAAGTATCGAGTCTAACTCCTGGGTAACTGCAGAGCTAAATAACACAGATCTTTTCCCTGTGGTGGTAGAATTAAAAACTAGAGAGCATATTTTTAAGGTGAGAGAAGAAAGATTTAAAAGGGACTTGAGTGTAACTTTTTCCACACAGAGTGTGGTTCATATGTGGAATGTACTGCCAGAGGAAGAGGTTTTGACAGGTACATGAATAGGAAAGTTTTAGAGGGATGTGGGCCAAACACAGGTAAATGGAACTAGTTCAGTTTGAGAAAACTGGTCAGGATGGACAAGTTGAATGGATCTGTTTCTCATCATAGAATCCCTACAGTGTGGAAACAGGCCCTTTGACCCAACAAGTCTACACTGACCCTCAGAGCATTCCACCCAGACCCATCGCCCCATAACCCACCTAATCTACAGATCTCTGCACACTATGCGCAATTTAGCATAGGCAATCCACCTAACCTGCATATCTTTGGACTGTGGGAGGAAACCAGAGCACATGGAGGAAACCCACGCAGACGCAGAGAGAATGTGCAAACTCCACACGGACAGTAGTCCAAGGGTGAAATTGAACCCGGGTCCCTGGCACTGTGAGGCAGCAGTGCTAACCACTGAATCACAGTGCCACCCTGTGCTGTATGACTCTATCACTCTATAAATGCCAGTCACTCATATTGAACCGTTGACTTCCCTTTTGACACCTTGACTGCCCAACGTGACCCCTGAGTACCCATCAAACCCACTACCCATTCTACCATTGATGCCAAATTAACCCCCAGCCACTGTTGCACACTGATTAGCTCCTGACACACAACCATCCCATTAACACATGAACTACAACCCCAGTCCCACATATATGTCACTTCTTACTACCCCGATACCCAAATGCATCCACAACACTGCAACTATCAACGCTGACTCCTCAATGAACCCTCATTGGTCTCAACCAACTAGCAGCCCTTCCTGACCTTCCTACTATCCACTGACCCTGAGGCTAACCAGCCATGTGACTGCCCTCTAATCTTACCACTTACCTTTCCTCAACACTCAATACAACCCTATTATTACCTGTGCTGAGTTGACGTCTCTATCCTCAATCGCACAACTACTTTGCCTTCCTACCTCACAACCCTCCATATCTAAGCAGAAATACTTACTACCTGATCCAACTACTCACGTACCCCCTCATTTATCTACCACCCTACTGAAGTATCATGTCACCTACCTACAACCCCACTTACCTGATTTAGCAACCTACTACTGGAACCACATAATACCTCACTCAATTGCAAGCAAAACTACCTGTCAACTCACCCACGTACCACCCCACCCAACCACACCACACATACCTTCCTCCTCAACCACCCTAGATACCTACCCACTTAACTTACTTAGCCCACCTGCTTATACACTTACTGCAATCTATTTACTACCTACTTAGTCCTTAGTTCAGTCACCCGTTCACTAACATGCAACCATTCACTACACTCAAACTGGACCCTTAAATATGTAACTAGTGTCATAAAAATGAGGCAATTCCTGTCTGTGCCACTTCTCCACCTAACTCATAAGTATTAAGAGAATCCTTGCCAATTTACACTCTACTCCACATTCTAGGAAAATTGCTTTTGAAACCAAGAAGAAATGCAAAGCAGTAGTAAAACTGGGAAAAATTGAAGCAGATTAGCAATTCAAAATGGGTGCGCATCAGAGAATTTTCTAAGTGTCCATTCCTACAAATCTAAATTAGATTAAAGTATTTGTCTACTGCTGCTGATATGTCAAAGAACCTATCTTTTGTTGTTTCTGTCTTCCTCCTTTATTACATAATATCGTATAAATTTTCAGATTCTTGGAAAGTGTCTTAATGTATGAGAAATTCTAAATGACATGTAGGTGAAGCATTTCATCTTGCATCCACCAGGACAAATGCAAGAATGCCCCAGATTTCAAGCAGGCACTACAATTTATACTATAGGAGAAAAGGATTGGTCAGCAAGTCAAATTGGAATAAGAAAACAACACAGAAAGATAAAATCCCCACACTCCTGGGCAATTTCAGAAAGGTTCAAGACTTAAAACATTCCTTTTGATTGCACAAATTGGGTCCCTCCATGAATCATTTCCAGCAAATGTAAGTGAGTCGCATTACAAGCTGGAATGAATACCTTAATTTGGTCTGTAGGTAACAATTAGTACACTCAGGATTGTTCAGCAAGTGCTCTCCAGTTTCAAGATCACATCCAACAATATGTCTTTTGATTTGGGCTTTAGAACACATGCTGGTTCAGTGTGGTCTTCACTCTGCCTGTTACAAACAACCAAAGAGTTTGATCTAATCAGTCTATTGTTTGAATATATGACCTACATAGTTGGCATTGCAACAACATGGAAATTCATGCCTGGATTTGTTTAATTGCATGGTAGGCAAATGCCCTTTTCATGAACAGCAGCATCCTGTTACAGGAAAACATTACTCATATATCCACTGCATTGTAACATGAAATAGATACCTGAAACTGTTGTTCAGATTTTTGAGATACTTTACCTTTTCAGGGCAATTGGAAGTAGAGAAGGTCCCTGTCATATCTGAAATTGATGGCCTTGGGCCCATTTTTGTGTCTGCTGTGATAGTTCCAAATTTGGCATCCTTACATTTATGGTGATGACTGCCAGATGAAAATCTTTGGCAATGAGTCTCTCTATCCAGCACTTTTCAAGTTTTGTGCAACCAACAGAATGCAAACTGAATGATCAAAAAAATCCATTCGTTATCTTTAAGACAACTCTTTGAAAACTATAGCATACAGGTCTTCCGGTCAAGGTAATTTATTCACATTTAGTCCCATTAATTTATCTAGTACTATTTCTCCACTAATACTGAACGATTTATGTTTAACATTGTACAATCCCACTGGTCCTTCCGATCTCATTATTTTAAGAATGGAGTAAGAGAAAAAAAAAATTCTAGAAACTATGCTGGAGTTTCTGAACTACACA